GTGCATGGTATGGCCAAGAGTCCATAATTTATGGACTCTCGGTATGACCTAGGCCCATGGCCATGGGCTTGTACGATGAAGCTTTGTGATGTTCGAACAAACCCTCTGCCTGGGCTTATATGCGCGGGCATGGGCTTATACGCGGGTGGGCTTATCCGCGGGATTCTACGGTAGTTGTAGATATCGTGAAAACAACAGTACATCCTGCATTGTGTGACCCGTGCTTACTCCTTGCCACATTTGAGGCCAGAAAAGTCCAAGAACAGGAAGTATGCCACGGCAAAATGTATGGAGATTCGGAGAAGCAGATCCAAAACCCAGATTTTGAGATTTAAAGTGGGTTTTTGATCCTCAATTCGGCCCAAATCCGACTTTCAACAGCCAGCGGGGCCAGTTTCCGATGAATGGACTGTAGATCTACGGACTGACTGTACTATGGTCTACTCGTACTGACTCACTCTGCACAGGTCGGTACAAGAGCAGATACGGATGACGTGTCGGCCTCGAGGCTCGCACCTGGCAGTCGACGTAGTCCGGTACACGGGAAAGATCTTGTACTTTGTTGTAGTCTAGATTAAAAAAAAACCAAAAACTAGTTACTTGTTGGTATTGCAGCTGTGCCAGATCGAGATCGATCCTTCGCCGAGGCTTCGGACGCCTGCATGCAACAGAATTTTAGCAATGGCACCAGCAAAGTGCGTAACCTGCCAGAAGGACAACAAAACCAGGCTGCTATCTTGCCTGCATGTCCTTTGTATGACGTGCCTGGAGGAGAATACAAGAGAAGACGACTCAGCGGTGGGCATCAGCTGCCCTGCTTGCAGGAAAAGAACGCCACTCACGGCAGGATGGTCACCAGGGCTTTCTTTACCCAGCGCCTATCCAAAGCAGTTGGCTTGCGAAGCTGGCTCGGGATCCGGATCAGCTACAGTTGCGTTGCTGTGCGAGGAGTGCGGAGATGACGAGATCGCGGAGTTCGTGTGCGAAGAATGTGACTGCATGCTATGTACCGCTCATGCCGAGGTGCACCCGCGCACACGAGCGACGTTCAAGCACAAAGTCACCGGTATTCATGACTCGAACTCGAAGCTATCCGACGGCAACACACCTGCGGACGATGATGGAGCTGAAGATGAAGCTGGTCAACCCAGCGGAAACGCTTTAGCCCCACAGGCACAGGGGCATAACAAGCATCGCTGTTCTATTCATCCGTCAAAGTCGGTGAGTCACTTCTGCTTCCCTTGCAATAAGCTGCTGTGTGCTGTTTGTATGCAGCAAGGAGTACACACGATTGACAGCCACGCTCAAGAAAATGGAGCTGGGAGGCTGACTGAGCATGCACCGCGCCCCATCCAGGAGGCAGCAGGCGAATCCAGAGAGAAGTTGCTTGAAAATCTGTTGAGCACTGTTGACGGGCGATGGACGAAAGCAATTGCCAGAGTTAGAACAAGTATGCAAACTCTTCATGAGCAAACAGAGAGCGCCTCTGAGCAGGCTGTTGAGTTCTATGACACGTTGAGGGAAGAGATCACCAAACGCCAAACGAGAGTTCTGGCTGAGCTGGACGAACGGCGTACAACTAAGCTGCAGCCGTTGGAAAAGCAACTATCCACACTACTGGAGGCTGTCAAACATGGTGAGAGGATAACGGAGATTGTCAACTCGTGTGACGACAACACGGACTTTCTTAAAATGAGCAGCTGGCTGGATAGCACCGTTGATGATGCCAAGCGCTCGACGCAAGACTACTTGCGACCGTGTGTGTCCAGTGCAATCACATTTGCTCCAACAGATGTCGAGGATCTGTGCACCGAGATTATTCGGGCTGGCTATACACTGGATCTTGCAGATGGTCACGTGAAGTGTAGCAATCTGCGATATCTGGGAGAGGACGCCACCGTTACTATTCAACCAAAATGTTCTCCGGAAACAAAACTTCAACTGACTCCGGAGCGAATTCACCAACATAGAATCAATGTGATTACTGCTCTAGAAGGTGAAAATGATGATGATGGCGATAAGTTTAAGTCATGGACTGAATATGCTGTGACCCGCATTGATAACGACGGTACAGTCCACTTTGCCTTCACTCCTCAACAAGCTGGCCTCCATTGGATCGTCAGCAGAGTCCATGATGTGTTACTGCACAAGGGTTCAATGTCGGCGCATATCTGTGAGCGTGCAGTATTTGATGCTAATCAATGCTACCATTCTATTCACATCAGCAATGATGGACACACTGCAAGACAGAACCAGGCAATCCAACGTCACCATAGTGGCACCTCAAGAGCAGTATGCAGTGGGAAAGTGGCAGAAAAGACTGGTATCAGCTATTTCACAGCTCAAATTGATCAGACCCGAGAAGCGCAAATCTTTCTGTGCGTATGTTCTGCCAAGTCGCCAGAGCTTGATTCTATTCACGCTGACAAAGCACAAGTGTTTGGCTGGCATGGGAAGGGTTCAGGCGGCTTTCACCCACAGCGGAACGGCGGTGCACTCGGTCAGAAGTGGAAAGCCGGCGATCAGATCACGCTAGCTCTCGACCATGATAAGCACACCCTCACCGGTAGACATCACCGCACTGGTGTCAGTGAAGTACTGCACAACATACCCACCCCTGCTGGTACCCTGCGCTGGTACGTCACACTGCACGACACAGGCGACCAGATCACTATCGTGTGAACACACAGCACGATTGACAGCTTGCCCATCGCCGCGCACCCGTTTGCTGTTTCGGCATGTGCAAGAAACGTTCCCCGGTCGCGATTACCCTCCCTTATTGTGTGGATATGTCCCTCGACATGCAGATCTCGTAGCATCCAGTGAGTTCCAGCCTGTCACAGATCAAGTCGCCTCAGTATATGTGGCACTATGACATATCGCTGCTGGTTCCAGAATACACGACAATTGACAGACATGATAACATTACATGCAAGATGATGTCACTTATCCACCACATCCACTGTACATGTAGGAGCTGTGGGTAGCCGTTGCTAGTTGCTATCCAGGACCAGGCGAGAAGAGAGACGTGACTATTCATTGTATTTTTAGTTTTTTTTATCCACAATAAAGACACCAATGTTTTCTTGAGTCGGGCACTTGCTCAATGCTGGAGGACGTACATGGACGCTGAGGTTCAGCTCTTTGTGGGTCATGCGGGCGCACAGACATAGCATTTTATATTTGCGTACTGTAGTATAAACAATCTACTGCTTACACAGCTGCATAATGCCGTTTATTATTATTTTTTAAATTTTACTTTTTTTATTTTTTTTCGGCAACGCAGATGATGATGATGATGATGATGAGTATAAACAAATATGTACTCGGATGGAGAGCCAAGGATTATTTATTTTAAAAAAAGTAAAAAGGACCAAGGAACCACAAGTTACACTATAACGTCCACTAACACCACCAGTTACTAAACAATCAGGTCATGCGATAACATAGCACGACACTGACCGACGGTACTGACATTCTACAACTAACTGGCTAACAGCTCTAGCACATCTTGGATGCGCACTCCAACAGCCTTCCAACTTGGAAGGTTCTAAGTTATAGAAATAACATAAGGAGGGGAAGGCGAGCGCAACCGAGATAAGCATGAGCTGAAAGTCTCAGCTGTGAAGGACGTTGGCGGATGTTCATGCATGTCGATGACGATACTGGCAAGACCATTGGACAATACGGTCCAACCACGATTCCAGGACGCAAAGCAACATTCCACACAACTTGCGTGGCTCAAAAGATGTGAAGATCAAGAAAAGGGGAAGCTATGCGAACAAGAATCATGCAAAACCGAACGCCTCAGTAAAATAGCACTGTACTTCGACTATGACAATTTAGATGGACAATAAGCAGCGGTAACAAGTAGCAGATGTGCTACAGCTGTTCGCCAGTTGGTTGCAGAACGTCAGTACTGTCGGTCAGTGTCGTTCAATGTTATCGCATGAGCTGATTGTTTAGTAACTGGTGGTGTCAGTGGACATTATAGTGTAACTTGTAGTTCCTTGGTCCTTTTTACTTTTTTTTATAAACAAAATTAATATGTAATTTTCAAATTTGGACTTCACGGAGAATTTCAAAGTTTTAGGAAATTAGAGGCCACGTGCCACGTACTGCTCTTTTCTCTCCGAAACTCAACACTTGCAAGCCAGATATGAAATACAGTCGACCTACCCTTATAACGATATTTGCGTCAAACCAAGAAATATTGTTATAAGGGTAATATTGTTATAAGGGTAACTGGTTCATTTCATACACATACGTCATAATGCATGGATTTTGTTCATTTTTTACACTAACTGACGTACATACCTATTGTGTACACAGCAAGGTGCCTACTGGTGTCCCCATTGCATTTCGTCATGTCCCAGCGACTTGTCAAGTGAAGCTTGCCCTACCTGGATAGTGGGCTCTACATATCCCCTGCTAGATATTGTTATAAAATGGAAAATGTCGATTGGTCAGCCCATTTTGTTATCGTTATAGGGGTAATATCGTTATAGCAATATTGTTATAGAGGTAAGGCATTGTATACACAAGTCAATGGAGTGATTTGGTTTGCCAGAAAAATATCGTTATAAGGGTAATATCGTTATAGAGGTTATCGTTATAAGGGTAGGTCGACTGTACTCATATGAGAGTCATACTGTAGCTCAGTTGGTTAGAGCATTGCTCGCGAATAGCAAGGTCCCTGGTTCGAGTCCCGGTGGTGTGACTGATGATTTTTTCTTTCTTTCATATCTGGCTTGCAAGTGTTGAGTTTCGGAGAGAAAAGAGCAGTGGCCTCTAATTTCCTAAAATTAATATGTATTCCAGATTTAGACTATTTCCACTTGATCTTTTCCAATCCACCCATAGTTTGGGGACTTCAGGAGGTGTCGGCCATTGGGCAGTTAAATAGCCAATTGAGTCACTTTCCAAAATGCCTTTTGAGTCTCTCTCTCCTCTCCCAGGGAGATCCACGTGACCAGTTTTAGCAGTGAGCAAGTACAAGTAGTGTGTGTGTGTCACGGTGTGTGTGTGTGTGTGTGTATGTGTGTCACGGTGTGTGTGTGTGTGTGTGTGTGTGTGTGTGTGTGTGTGTGTGTGTGTGTGTGTGTGTGTGTGTGTGTGTGTGCGTGTGTGTGTGTGACAAGTTGATGTCTACATTGTAAGATAGCTATTCGCTATCATCGCTTCCGCGATGGGCATGTCTGAGTCTGAGTGTGTGTGTGTGTGTGTGTGTGTGTGTGTGTGTGTGTGTGTGTGTGTGTGTGTGTGTGTGTGTGTGTGTGTGTGTGTGTGTGCGTGTGTGTGTGTGACAAGTTGATGTCTACATTGTAAGATAGCTATTCGCTATCATCGCTTCCGCGATGGGCATGTCTGAGTCTGAGTGTGTGTGTGTGTGTGTGTGTGTGTGTGTGTGTGTGTGTGTGTGTGTGTGTGTGTATGTGTGCGAGTGTGTGCGTGGGTGCGTGCGTGTGTGTGTGTGGTTGATATACTTGTACTTTCTATTTGAAGTATACATACCTGTTAACCATGGACTGCTTCTGGCTAGATTAACTCTTGTGTAATCAATGGTGCTAGTGAAGCATATATCAGATCCACTCTGCTTTAGCCACCCACACTAGTAGCAAGTATTACCTTCACTGGGGGCAGGGGTAACTGCAGTTGGATCCCGGGACGGATACCCCGATGCCATCAATCCTTTGTCTGCACCTTGTCCTCACCCACTTACTGAGGTGTGGTGAGCCCATAAGTGGGATCATTTTCAAGTCCACACAGAGTTTTGGGGATTTCAGGGGTGTCGGTCGTTGGGCGGTTCAATAGCCATCATCTTTCCAAGATTCTTCATGAGTCTCTCTTCCCTCTCCCGGGGAGACCCACGTGACCAGTTTTGGCAGTGAGTAACAAGTACAAGTGTGTGTGTGTGTGTGTGTGTGTGTGTGTGTGTGTGTGTGTGTGTGTGTGTGTGCGTGCGTTTATACGTACACGCATCCTCATGTATGTACTCTTGGTCAAAGTCTCCGGCAAGCTGAATGCTGTAGATGGATGGTGTCGCTTGGATAGACATAATTATATTACATTATTATATCACGTTCCCAATTAACTGTGGGTCGCAGCATGCCTGGGAAAAAATCCTTCCGCTTCCAAGCAGGACTTGAACCTACATTTATAGTACCCTCCCATGGTCTTCGACCATCCCATTGAACATGCCTGTTGCAGGAAAGAAGACATCAACATTTCCTTGGCAACTTTTCAGTGGCGATCGCCAAACCGTAGCAAATAGGGAAGTTCCGAACATTTTCCTAACGTCTTATGCCCACCCTGAGGCAAAAGGTGACCATGGTAACATAGTCAATGAATGTACAGTGAAGGCACCCTCCATTGTTCTCCGTAACCATGGTAACTCCACACAAAATTTTTTAAATGTGCAACGACTTGAACGATGGAATTATTTAAAAAAATCCATCGTTCTACTCTGCATGGCCCATGATGCGCATGAATGTCATGATAGAAGGGGAATGGGAAGCCAGCCTATGAACATGTGACTTGCTTCACTTTATTGTTTCTAGTTCCTAATAGAATGCACGTGCAAAGAAATTCTTTAAAAAAACTAAAATAATTAATTAGGACAGCATGGCAGGCCTTCGCAGAAAATGGCAATACGGGTAGTATGAAATTGAAGCGCCGTGGTCAGCAAGCAAAAGCCTCTACTAGTCCAACTCTACGGCTGTGTAGAGTAAAAACTAGTGTAGTAGTGAGCAGTGTGTGTGTGTGTGTGTGTTGTTCGGGATAACATATTCATCATACCGGTATGCTACTAATTAATAATCAGGTGTGTATTGCATAATTCCATGACTACTACATGGGTTTATTTAAACTCGGATGCTGAGCCAACAGGAGTCATGTACAAGAGGAAGGACAAGAACGTTACGAGTTGGTGAACGGTTAGTCATAACTCGTAACACGTTGGTCCTTCCTCTTATACATGATGACCACTGCGTGTAGTATGCCCGGTAGCAGTGTTTGATTGTCATGATACGACAGCCGGGTCTGCTTCAAGGCAAGCAGAACAGAATGGATATGTCCTAAGGTACGAAACTATTACACGGACAGTAGCTGTGTTGTAAAAAGCACTCCCCGTGGCTTAGGAATTTGGCTTTATAGTAATACATCAAACAACCCACCATTGCAGGAGTTTACATGTATCTACTGTTGCCGTCCTCTATTAAAAAAGCAATGGTAGCTGTCCTATTTTAGCGGGAGTTCACAGGTTTGTTGTCACACACACACACGCCAAACTTACGCGGCATCCACGAACAACAGACGTGGCTGCTGCCCGTACACACTCTGTAAATTCTCCTGTACAACCGGCAGAGCAGACGGACGACACGTAACTATTTTACCCTCCAACCACCGGCAGAGTGCTGGAGGAGTGTTGATCAGCAGCGTGGGTAAAGCACACGTATCACTGAACGCTGTCTAGAAAGTCGCGGTGCACGTCCACGGCGGCCTGCGGGGCTTCCCACAGCGGAGTGTGACCAATCCCACGAGCCAGCTCAGCCACCTTGGCCCGTGGCACTTCTCGCCTGCACAAACAAGCAATGACACAATCATGCTTCACCAATCGTGACTGGTCGGAAAGGTCACAAGTGAAATTAGCCAACAGAGGACTACCTAAGAGCTAAGACTTGTACTTAGATGACTACCTTCTTGAAGTACACACTTTTCCGTGCCAGTGAGACCCAAGACAGCTACCACAGCTCACACTGTGTACAGCTGTTGATACCTGTGTAGAAATCCATACATCCTGTACACACACCTTGTACACACTCTCTCTAACGGTCTCTAGGCTACACTGCAATTGATATACATTATATCAAATTTTCGGGCAAGGCCCATCATCAGGATAACTGGTCTACTGTAGACAAAACAGGGGTTTAGGTATATGTGACAAGTACTAGTGGCCAAAGGTGTGATGGTATAGCGTAAAATGTTGCAATACCACAGGAAGCGAGATTATATTCTGTGTGATATGTATGAAGTGAAAATATAGTGCAGTGATAGTGCAGGATTACTAGTGTGAGTACAGAGCAGAAAAAAAACAGAAAATACACACTTCTAGCAACACTCACACACATACACCAGGGATCGATTTATCCGGGTTCGCATCGCAGTTTGCGAATCAAAATTCACTGGCTGCGACTCGCTTTTTATTTTTTATCGCCCAAAACTGCGATGCACCAGTTGTGTGCAGTCTACATGCGACTGTACACACCGCTGACTAGGGAGTAGTATTTTACTACTCCAACCAACTGGCCTGTCCTGCTCAGTCCGCGCGCGGGTCGCGGATCGCGCTCTTTCGATTTTGGGCACCGCACTAGCACTGGTCGTACATGACTGCAGTCTTCTGAAGTTTTGTACACGGCGGAGAACATCAGGAAAGCTTTCTTCTTTCACTGTCAATGTAGTTTGTTTCTGTTCGACAAGGCACAGTTGAAGTAGATGGTTCTTAGTCTCATGTAGCCAACATGTCAGTGAATCTGATCAGTGATTCACTGTCCAGAAGAGGGACAAAGAACTGGACGCACCAGGAATGTCGATTCGTTTCGATGAAGAAAAGGAGAAAAGCGAAATTCGATGCGCTTTGCACGAAGTGTCACGATCGTTTGAGCGCTTTCCTGAGGTTTCTTTGTCGAAGAAATCGGTGGAACTGCCCTGTTGAAGGACATTGTGCTGTGAAGAACTCGAAGTCGGATGGACGCTGAACATGTAACGTGCCCAAGCGAAAACTCTAACGTAAATATTCAGGTCGAACATTCGCTTGGAAAAGCAAATAGCAACTGCAGCTATTGTCCTCTTCTGTACGAAATCCTGCTATTGTACAGCTATACATGTAAACTTTTGATGAAGGAAAACTGCTAATCAATACTGGGAGTTGCTAGTCAATTGTAAAACTGTGTAGCAGTGACTGCTATGCAAAAAAATCAAAGTAAATCGATCCCTGTACACACACACACACACACACACACACACACACACACACACACACACACACACACTGTACTGTACTGTACTGTACTGTACTTGTTGCTCACTGCCAAAACTGGTCACGTGAGTCCCCCCGGGAGAGGGGAGAGAGACTCAAAAGGAATCTTAGAAAAATGACTCAATTGGTTATTGAACCGACCAACGGCCGACACCCCCTGAAATCCCCAAAACTCTGGGTGGACTTGAAAATGATCCCACTTATGGGCTCACCACACCTCAGTAAGTGGGATTGACGGCATCAGGTATCCGTCCCGGGATCCAACTGCAGTTACCCCTGCCCCCAGTGAAGGTAATATTTGCTACTAGTGTGAGAGGCTAAATCAGAGTGGATCTGATAAAAGCTTCACTAGCACCATTGATTACACAAGAGTTAATCTAGCCAGAAGCAGTCCATGGTTAACAGGTATGTATACTTCAAATAGAAAGTATATGAACCCTGGAACCAACAAAGGTGGCAGGTACAACATTACACCTTCAAGCAGCCGAGCCTGCTGGCAACAGACCCAACACAATCAGGCATAAGTGTACCTACCAGCCGAACTAACTGGCACACACACACACATGCACTTTGTGTAGAAATTGACAGTACAAAGCTATTATTTTGTTTTTCTCGCAGTCACAGCACTCTGCTGGTGCTGTTTTGAGGTGATTTGAAGTCGCTTTGTTGTTCACTAGACTACCCCCCCCCCCCCCCTCCCCCCAGGTCACAGCAGTCATACCCCCCCCCCCCCCGGTTACAGCAGTCATACCCCCCCCCCCCCCCCCAGGTCACAGCATAATTAAAACCATTGAGATAAAATTGAGGATTCCACAAAGATACATTCATCAGGCCGAGCCATAATGCTCAACAAGTACATGTACTTCAAAGTACTAACTTACTGGTACCGCTCAAATCCAGCTCTGACGTGGAACCAGTCCTCGGGGCCGAACACGTACATAACTACAAGACAATACCAGATAATACAAGAAAGTGCACACGCAAGGGTTGAGCATAAAACGTGCATGTACGTGGCAGGTAGACTGCCGTAAACCATTCTCTTAGCAGTGTTGAAACAATCGCACCGCGTAATCTCTTTGCTTGAATCCGACTTTGCAGTGTGCACAGAGGGAGCGTGCTACCTCACTAAACCAGTACATGTAAGCTTGAAGCATGGCAAGTTAGCTGCATGGTGTGGGACCATTTCACCCGTTTACGCCAAGACGACAAAAAACGGCACGCACCTGAAAACACTTTGAAGAGCGCTTGCGTAGTCGCCGCCAATTCGAAAACACTTTCATCATTCCTTGTAGACAGTTTTGAAAACTTTTCAATAATCGAACTGAAACCACACAGGAGGGTAGGCAGCAGCTTTTTGCCTGTTCATCAATGAATTACTAGTCCATGTAGTTATAACTCCACCACAGGCGCTCTCGGGCCCTCCGGTCCTCTCTCTGCTCAACCTGGAGTTATGTTGCTAGTGTTAATGAGGTCAGCCAGAGAGCGCAACGTGGTGGAGTTGTGTGATCTGCAGAACTATGCAAAGTGACAACACGTCCAAGAGACTGGAGAAGTGGCAGATTGCGGTCCATGATGGCACGTCTCAGATACGTACGAAGCCTGGGGATCACCTGCCATTAGAGACCGCTTCAGCTGCTTACACGACAGAGCGGTCGCGTTTTAAAAACAGGTTTTACAGAACAATAACCAGGGGCATGTACATTTCAAAACTCATGGTGAAGATTATGGATACATCATTAATGAAAGTAAGACCCAGTTGCTTGTGAAGCCTGGTCTTAAGGTGGCTGCCAGCGAGCACTTTGGAGACACGCCTATTGTTGTACAGATTGATGGTGTACGCTACCTTGGTGCTGGGCTGAGTACCTCCGCGTCTCATCATGCTTTTGCAAGACAGCCAACGGATGAGTGAACTAAAGAGCCGAAGGTTCTGACAGAGTTTGCGGCGGAGGAGCCTCATACGGCTTATGCTGCAACGACGCATGGCTTGAGACATAAATGGACATTCTTGCTTCGGGCTATGGACCTAGGTGAGGAGGTACTTGCTCCTATGGAAGCCTATCTCTCTCAGTGTTTTTGCCAGTAGTTGTAGGGCAACCCGCATTGTCTGCCAGTGATTTGAAAGTGTTGAGAGTCCCGATTCGGCATGGCGGTATGGCTATCCCGGATTTGGTGCCTATTTCTGCGCATCAGCGGCAGCAGTCTCGGCATATTTCGGAGCCTCTGGGTACTGTGCATTGTAGGTGGCTACCTGGAGACAGTACATGTACCCTCTCCACCTGCCACCTCTCCGAATCACGGGCATTGAGTGTCCGGGAGTGGCCACGCTGCCTCCGCTCCTGAGGCATTGATGGTGAACGATGTGCGGGAGCGGAAGGCCCAGACTCATGCTCTGCGGAGACGTGAAGCAGGGGCTGCGGCGAGGGTGGCTGCTGAAGTGTTGGACGATCGCGACAGGAGGCGTATTCTCGAATTATCGGAGAAGGGTGCCTTGTCGTGGCTGGCTGTTATACCTATTACTAGTATTAGGAGGCATGGTTTGAGTTTGTCACGAATAGATTTCCAGGACGCCGTTGCTTTGTGATATGGCTAGTCTTTGCAGCGTACGCCTGAGTCTTGCATATGCGGACATGAGTTTGTTGTAGTCGTGGGGGTTTCCTACCCGACGACACAACGATTGAGGTTCGGGATCTCCTGGTGGAGGAGCTTACAATGGTTTATTCCGCAGTTGGTACGGGACCGAAGCTCGTACCTCTAGCTGGCGAGCGATTTCGCTTTCGAACAGCGAACGTCATGAGAGGCCAGACTCGATGTGAGCGCTCGGGGGATTAGGAGCCGTGGGGAGGAGGCCTTTCTTTATGTAAGGGTTTTTTGCCCAGATGCCCCTTCCTATCGCTTCAAATCTCTCAGCGCTCTTTACAAACAACATGGGAATTCTAAGCGTCGTGAGTATGAGGAGAGAGTTGTTATTGTAGAGCGTGGTTCCTTCACCCCTCTAGTGTTCGGTACTCATGGTGGTTGTCCGTTGTGCAATATTTTCTTGGAGCGTCTTTGTCGCTTACAATGTGAGTCTTCGGGTAGCGTATACTCTGTTGCCATTAGTCTGCTGCGTGCCCGTCTCTCCTTCTCTTTGCTGAGATCCAGCATTCTTTGTATCCGCGGTGCTCGTTCTCGTTGTGGTTTCCAGTCCAACGTTTCGTAGATAGTTCTGTCGTGGTGGCTGAGTCTTGCCTTGTTACATAATTTTCTGATCTTGTACTTGTATTATCATTTGTCCATCAAGTTTATTTTTTATTTTTGTTGTTTCTTTGGATGTTGTTATTAGTACGCAAGATGTTGCGACATCGGCGGTGATTAGTGAAGAAAGTGTCTGCTCCGAACGTCGGAGCTCGCGCGTCCTGCCGGCTGACTTGGCACTTGACTGCTGTTATTAGTGTTCTTATTTCATTTTTCATTTTATTATTATTATTTAATTCTTATTAATTCATACCGTATGTCCGCACTTTTAAAGCCATGGAGGTATATTCGATTATAAAGCCAGTCTCAGCTATAAAGCCATCGGCTTTATAAAAGAAATGACATTCGAAGTATGTTTTGTAAAAGTGAAGGGATATGTACAGCCCAGCAGGAAGGGCGAACAAGTGGATTTAGGTGAAAAAGGAGGACAAAATGTTACGAGTTATGACTAATTGTCCACCAACGTAACCAGATCTTATACAGTCAGCGAGTGCGACAAAATGGCACAAAACTGACAAAGGAGTACTGAGACATTCGGCGACCTGACACCTAGCTCCAACACTTATCCAAGGCGCAAACCAACAACCTTCCAACTTGGCTGACTGTATAAGATCTGGTTACGTTGGTGGACAGTTAGTCATAACTCGTAACATTTTGTCCTCCTTTTTCACCATAATTTAATTGGCTCACCATCCGAGTTAAGTGGATTTAGGTTGAAATTTCGGTGTGGACTTTGACTTAATGGCATGGCGTAGTAGGTGAGTCGTTTTGCGTCTAAAATAGCTAGGACAGCAGCAGTATTTCAAATATAAGGCCATGGCTTTAAAGGCGCTGACGTACGGTACAATGTTTTTTTTCATTTTGAAACTTGTTGTTTTTCTTTGAGTTCATTGATTGAGTTCTTTGATAAGCATTTTTCATCAAGTTTTGATTCGAAGTTTTCTTTCGGTTTGCGTTTGAAATCTTTATTTTACACATGCATTTTACACATGCATTTTTCCTGATTTCTTCTCCAGTTTTGTATAGCATTTTAATCCATTGCGTTTGTCTTTGCCCGTAAAAGAGGCTTTTGGACTTCAGGAGCATGTACATAGTATATCACCTGTATGGGATAAACCTTGTTTTGTTGAAACATGTTATTGGTTGACAACATGTGACAAGGGAGACCACCGTCACGGTTCGGAAACAGTAGTAAGATCGCTGTTTCCGAACACGGTGGTCTCCGCCTTGTTACATGCTGTCAACCAACAGCATACTCAAGTATAGTATACCTGGTACAAGGTTGCAATGGAACAAGACTGTCGTATTCAAGTTTTGCTGTCATTCCAAGCTTCATGATTATCCAGAAACCTGGAGTAACAGCAAAAAATACAGCCTTGTTCTATTGTAAGCTTATGTCATTTGGATCTGCCCTCGTGGTATCGAGCACTTTTGCAACAAACAAAAAACATACAACAAAAACAAAAAAATGGCTTGTATACCTGGTATAGATGTGGAATTCAGTGCAGCGATCCAAGCAGCCTCGTACCACTCACGCTCCTTCATGTAATGGAATATCCTACAGAAATCAAGAACAGCAGGACATATCCAGGCTTTCAACTTATCAGTCTACTTCAAGTAGATAGCAGCAGAAAAGATGAACTTGCTTGTTGACAAAGTGAATTAGTGTGGAGAATGTGTGGCTATGTTTGACAAAGTCTCTCAACTTCAACCAACCGCCAACCCCAACCTGGGACATAGAGCATTTCATGTGCTGCCTGCATTGGCTAGCTCATGATGCTTCTGATCTGGAGAGAGGATTATATTCAGCTTAGCGGATCTTCCACATTCCCGTCAAGTTGAAGATACTGATGGCTTGATAGTGTTCCTGCTGCCGGGGGGGCTACTGAACATCTGGTCGAACGTGGAGATGTTGCTGGAGCTATGGCTGGCAAGGTTACCAAGGCAAAAAAAGTCATTCCCAGCAACATTGGTAGGCCCCCTTACTTCCTTGTGAAAGTTGAGATATTCTTGTCAAATTGCAAAGGAACCGTGCAGCCATTGACTCGCAAATTTCAGTGCGATGCTCCAAAGTTGTCATTTGTTGCTCGTGAGCTAAATGCTGCTGTCATCAGTATTGCAGGTCTAAATGCTGTTGTCATCAGTATTGCAGGTCTAAATGCTGCTGTCATCAGTATTGCAGGTCTAAATGCTGTTGTCATCAGTATTGCAGGTCTAAATGCTGTCGTCATCAGTATTGCAGGTCTAAATGCTGTTGTCATCAGTATTGCAGGTCTAAATGCTGTTGTCATCTGTATTGCAGGTATTGCAGGTCACTTCCTAAAGGGATTAGTACATGTACTCTGTTGCTCACTTGGCTGCCCAGTGACGCTCGTCAATGCCGATTTCTCAGACAGCAACAAACATGCCCATGGAGCCAAAGTCAAGGTTGGGTTTCCTTCTCATTCTTATCCAGAAAGTGTTGGAGAAATTCCCTGTTCGATACCAGCTGGCTCGCAGCCTCCGATGGCTTACTGCGGCCATGATCGGTGGAGAGATTGCACTGCATCTGCTTGCACCAGGCTGAGCCATGACCTGCAGCTGCTTGTGAATACCAAAGTCAAAGCAGTCAGTCGTCGTGATGATACCGTTCGGCAGTACGAGAACGTTTGTCGTTCCACTGCCAAGGATGACGGTCTTGTGTTGTTTACTTCTGGAGACGACCAACTTGGCTCGAGCTTGTTCAACACCTTGGTCGAAAAGCAAAAAAAACAAAACAAACAGGTTTTACCTACTTTGACTGGGCCAAGTGACCGTCCTTGTGGCGTAGCATGGCATAGCTGAGGTTGCGGGTTGCCTCGTCTACATTCTTCTCTCCAAACATGGCACGGAGGCTGCAACATAGCAGAGAGGGACAAAGCACACAAATATATGTTGGACTCAGTAGAGCGTCCAGCCCCTATATGATGTCCAACCCCTATATAGAGTCCATTGGTCCAAAATCCACTGTACAGAGTCCAAACTTGGAATCAACTGTGAGCTCAAAGTTTAGATGGACATCACTCCCTGTATAGAGTCCAGCCAATTGGCTTCACCCCTATATAGAGTCCATTGGTCCAAAATCAACTGTATGGAGTCCAAACTTTGAAATCAAATATAAGGAGTCTTTATGTGGACAACACTCCCTGTGTAAAGTCCAGCCATATAGGCATCCCCTATCCAGAGTTCGAAATTAGACATAGGATCTGCTGTAAGCAGTGAATATTAACCAGAAAACGGCCTCTCCCTTTAATCCTTTACATCATTCACTTCTCAAGATAAAAAATAAGTATTGAGGCGCCACTGCATCCACTTCATTACATGAAAAACCCTACAAACACCATCCTCAAATCAAGTGGTCTCTTCGCAGACGCTGCAAATTACAATATCCCAATCATGTAGTGTTGCAAATTATTGTGCACGCACACACACACATGCACATACACACACAACGCCAAGAAAATACCTAGAAAAAAACAAGAATCGAAAGAGAATAATGGAGAGACAAGGATTAATTATTTGTTTTCAAATTCTTGTGCGCGCGCACACACACACACACACACACACACACACACACACACACAAACTTATACAACGCCAAGAAAACACCAAGAAAAGAGTAGAGACACAATACACAAGCAACTCCAATAGCCATACAAACGTCCACCCATTTACACGTTAAGTCAAGAGGGACAACAAATAATTATACGAAACGAATGCATACGTGGGCGGATGCACGCACGTTTACATACATGTAGTAGTGTAAGAGAGTAACATAGTGCAGTAGTCAGCATAATACTAGCACATGCTGAGAGTGCAATAGCAAGCTTCACCATTGCTCATGGCCATGCAAGTGTTCAGCAGCACTCAGTTCCGCAAGCTTCTGAAGATCAGCACACCTGCAACAAATATATAGCACAAGGATACGCTTATTACCGTAATGATGCATGGGATCACATATCTACCAAGTTCTCAACGAATGTGATGCTCAATGAAAATCCATCCACACAAAGACCTGTGAACAGGCGACGGTGGGGACAATAATCTATTAGTAATACGAGGAATAAGATTGTTTGTGCACACTCAAGACGCACAGACACACCACCATACATGTAGTGTACACAGTGTTTCACTTCAGTGCACCTAAATTGAAATGAGATGATTTAAACAATCTGTACAGCGTTGCAGTCAGTCAGTCCTCCCCAAGATGGAAAAGCAATGATTTGTTGTCACGAGGCAGTTTCACTGACACAATGTCATGTTTGTGACATCAAAACGGTTACTTCATGGAATACGAGTACATGTATTAGCTTGAGAAGCTTTTTCTTGTCATCGGCATACAAGAAATCCTCCTACTACTACTACGGTACACTGGCACTGCGTTTGTGGATCCCATTGTATTTGACATCATACTAGAGCCTAGTAGTAGAGGGAAGAGTGTCGTGGAGTTCACATAATTATCACAGGGATAAAAATACTTTTCTCATGAAATAAAATAATAATAATATTGATGATATCTAGACGATCGTATACGATTGATGCAAAGTCCTTGCAGTCCTTGAGGACTATTACGAAGTGGTTGATTACTTTTATGGCATTCATTCAAGCAACATCAAACAAAAACGCGATACGATCCTTGAAAATGGAAAAAAAATTCAAGCATAACGACAGCCTACACAGCAGACCAATCGAAACGAGTAAAAGCTTCCTTACCTCAGTCATCGTCCTGCCATGTAGTTGGACAGCCTTTTGACACGGTGGTACAGGCAGCTCTTGTCCAGTCAAACAGGGTATCCTTGTGGCGTCGAACGAAAGAGAGTGTCAGTGTATCTGACTCGTCAGATTGGAACTGTGCTGAACTTTTCTCGTTCTCCGCTTTCTGCTTTCATCCCTCGCTCTGATGAATCCGTTCAAACGCCTTCCTGGCAGCAATGGCCAGCCAAACAGGGGATCCTTGTGGCGTCGAACGAAAGAGAGTGTCAGTGTACCTGACTCGTCAGATTTGAACTGTGCTGAACTTTTCTCGTTCTGCAATTTCTGCTTTCATCCCGCGCACGGATGAAACGTCTTCAGAGAACCACAAGACGCTTTCCAGATTTGATTTTGAACGTCTCCTTATCCTCCTTGGTTACCTCGAGACAGATTACTGTCAGCAACTGCACAGCAGAACTGGCAGCCATGGCTGAAGTGAAGAAAGGAATGCGCTGCCATGAGGCAAGCAAAACTGAAAAGGTGTTTTCTCTTTCGGGCACAACACACAGGACGGCGTGACTGGATAAACTGGACTCCTGGACCGTGAATAGGGGACTTGTAGAAAAAGTGTACTCCTTATAGGGGATTCCGCGGCAGGATGAAGCTGATCAAAACTGAGTGGACTCCTGGACTCTGTATAGTGGATTTTGGACCAATGGACTCTATATAGGGTACTGGACATCATATAGTGCATGGACTCTATACTGAGTCCTACATATATAGAAATTCTTGCACACCCAGCCACAAAATATCATAGTCTGCCAGATGGTGGGTCTGAACATCTTGTGTCTAATTTTCAAGGTCCACATTCAGATTTTGATTCTCCCAGTAACGGCTATGCAGCATCACAGTACCTCTACCTCTGTGCTAACCAAGGAAACAAGTCTGCGAGGCTCTGTTAGACGGTCCTTCCCTTAGACTCCATTGCTGGCATGCATTGGAACAAAAAATAATGCAAAAAAAGGATGAGCAGAGGAATGAAGAAAAAAGCATGCCGCGTGCAAACATTTCTCTGAAAAAAGAGTGCATAAACTGGAGAGAAAAAAAAACAGGACAAGGTTTTATGTTTTAGGCCATTTCCTAGCACCGTAAAGGACCACCAGAGCGGCCCGTCTGGCGAGAGCGCCTCACCTTGATTCCACAGCCAGGGAAAGGATAATTGCATGGCAGAGTGCAACCAAGTTTGTACGGTGTGAGAACCTTAGTGTACTAAGGTCATACTTAGCAGGGTTTGTGTGGATCTCGCGTCCGCTCGAGCGCTCGGAGGTAAATTGAGTACGGATTGACTGCACAGCGTGTTTGTGTGTATATTAAAGGGGAAGTTAAGGCAAAAATTAAAATTTCACCAGTTGTAGTCTTCGGGGTGCTGAGTCGAATGGTCGTGGTCCGAGGAAGCTGAGACGCTCCCTTCCTACTTGAATCCCAATCGAACTCGCGTACTTCCACCGAGACTGGGTGACTGCGCCCTACTAGATGGGGATTTGTATGCAAAATGTCACTAAAAGCGCCATTTCGTTCTTATAAAAGCACGGATGACCGCGATTGGCCCATATGTTGTAGTCTTTTGGACGCTGAGTCGACTGGTTTTGGTCCGAAAAGGCTGCGATGCAGCGTTCCTCCTTTATTCCCAATCGAACATGGTTGAAGAAGCGGTGACGTGCTCCTGGGTGCCCAAATCACCTGGTCACCACGCCAGCAGGCGAGAACTTTCACACCAAGGTTCAACTCGAGTGACAGGATTGCACCCAAAAAAGGTCAAACAGGCTAGAAAGTTGTACCCTGCAGGCATGGTGACCAGCTGACTGGCGTACGCAGGAGCACGTGACCGCTTGTTCAACCATGTTCGATTGGGAATAAAGGAGGAACGCTGCATCGCAGCCTTTTCGGACCAAAACCAATCGACTCAGCGTCCAAATGACTACAACATATGGGCCAATCGCGGTCATCCATGCTTTTATAAGAACGAAATGGCGCTTTTAGTGACATTTTGCATACAAATCCCCATCTAGTAGGGCGCAGTCACCCAGTTTCGGTGGAAGTGCGCGAGTTCGATTGGGATTCAAGTAGGAAGGGAGCGTCTCAGCTTCCTCGGACCACGACCATTCGACTCAGCACCCCGAAGACTACAACTGGTGAAATTTTAATTTTTGCCTTAACTTCCCCTTTAAGGTGTGTGTTCTACGACCTACAGACAAGACACCACCTCCACAATACGACCACGAAAGAAAGAGGTGGTGGGGCACTCTGGCGGTACTTTACGGTACTTGTGTGTGTGTGGGGGGGGGGGGGATCGTAATCGATTCTAGAAGCACAGGGGTACATGGATAAAATCAAAATGCAGTGCATGAGCTAGGACTAAGTTCAACAAGCCACGCAGGCACTGCATCTGTTACCAAGAGAAGAACTCGTACACCCCTTCTTCGGATTTGCAAGATAAATCAGACTCGGCTCAGACATGAATAATGCACTTACTTGAACTGGTACAACCCCTCAAAACCGAACAAAGACAGGGCATATCCGATTACTGGCAGGTGAATCACCTGGAAAGCAGACAGAAAATTATAGCAAATGAAGGCCATAATTAGTTGCTCGGAACCCTGGAAATGCACGCCTTCAAGTCGGTCCTAAGCGAAATGATGACTTTATTAAAACACAGTGTATAGGACAGCAGCCAAGCGAGCAGGCTTGCTGACTTTCATACACGTACATGTATGTGCGTGACATCGACATAAGACAAAGTGCATGTACCGTACTTTCCAGAGTACAAGCCGCACTTTAAACACCATCAATTCACCCAAGCTAATGGGGTCGCTCTCGGCACTTGTGCCAGTGGTTGTGAGACTTATCCACTCACCCCCACCGCTAGGCGCTGCATCTGCCGCTAGGGTTTACCGGGTGTTAGCGGCCGTCGTGAGTTCCCTTCGGGAACGGACACGATAACTTACTCCCTTTTTTTTAATTCACCAAAAAACAAAAGCCGGTGCAGCTATACTACGACGGTCAAATTAACGGTGATAAACAGGGAAGACGTCTGTATTTCATGAGTGCAGCTTAACTCCAGTGCGGATTATAGCTCCGGAAAATACAGTAGCCGAAACGGTTGGTTTCAGCAGTAGTAGTACCGGTTCCATCAGATTCTAATCCTCAGCACCAAGCAATGGGCCACTAATGTCCAAGAAGGGGGCCATCCATGCCTGGAGAGATAGAGCTATATCTCCAGATGGAAGGAGCTCAATGGGAGCTTCTAGTTGTATGGATCCCAGCACTGGAACTGCAGATTGTCTTGGCGAGGAAAGCCAGCTTGAACCACACCCACAAAGCGGCGCAGTTTTGTGTTTTGTGGGAGAGGATTTGATCCAGCCAAGGACTTAAATGTAGTGTCACGATTCTCCAAAGTGGATGAGCATGTCATGAACTACATCAGTAAGAGTCTGAGTGGATGAGCATGTCATGAACTACATCAGTAAGAGTCTGAGTGGATGAGCATGTCATGAACTACATCAGTAAGAGTCTGAGACGTGGTCTTTCCAACGCTGAACGTGACGGCATTATGAAAGACTGGCCTAGACCAGAAGGTCCAGTTTTCTCTACACCCTCGATTGATGGCGTTATCCCCAGCCTGCTAAAAGCCCCGGAGAGAGACCTGCGTAAAGCAGAGTTATCGTCATACGGAATCCACTGTGGCGTGCTGGAAGCCATGAGCCCATTGTGTAGCCTGCGGCAAGCCATGAGGGATTTGCAAGGAGAGAGTTCATCGCTGTCAGATGTGGCATTGGCAGCTGTAGTTATGCTCCCCACCATCCAGCGTCTAATAGTACTGCTGACAGCTGTTGGCACATCAGTATGGAGTCATGCCGCACATCAGTATGGAGTCATGCCGCGCACCAGCTTTCAGCCGTACTCCACCGCCAACAACAGCTGCAGTTATCTGCAATGACAGCAGAACGGGAAGAGCTTCCAAGGCAGCCACCATTAGCTCCCAGCAGGAATGGCAGGTCGTTAGCGGAAATTTCTTGGCGGCTGGGAGTCAATCACTCAAGGGCGGTGGGCTCTAGATACGGTACGTGGTTATCGTCTGGACTCTCTGTCAACACCCTCGCCAGTCACTATTAAATTTGTTGATAGCGTCTACTAGTATCACCACATGCGTGTACAGTCAGTGTACATGTACTACGCGTATACGGTCCAGAGCGGATAGGTACCACGTGTATGTGTCTCGAATACTAGGCAATGCACCAACGCCTACTCCTGGACTGTTATTAGAGAGGTTGCGCACAACGAAAATACGTAAGATCTTGACCGTCCGGGTTCGAGTAACGAAACTTTGCTACCAAGATTCGTCCAAACCAGGGAGCCCTACATACATGTATGTGTATGTGTATCTATAGGGCTCTCTGGTCCAAACGCGACCGAACCAGAGCAGATCTACGAAAATATTTTTCGTCACTTGGAATACTAAAATATAGAGCTGAAACGATTATACCAATTACTCGGTAAACGATCGATAATTCCTTATCAATCAAGTAATCGTTACGTTATAGATTACTCGTTAGAGGTTTTGAGTCCAGAAAGTACTGAAAACCCTCGTTTTGTGTAGTTTGAATCAGTTTCCACTGTGAGTATGTAGTTGCCCGGGGCATGGTGCACATTCTGAGGTTAAATTGACTTTATAACTACCATGTTACCATGGTTACAGAGCTACCCTGTCACTAATCACGGCTGTTTCAGCCAGCGATTTTTGGCCATCTAACATGGCGGGGGGTACCCGCTGATTTTTGCCAAAAATCAAAGATTAATCATTTTTACGTTGAGATTAAGGTGAGTTGCTATCATTCTTCCGCGATTTACTGCCGCTAGCCCCACATTTTTGATACTAAATCCGCGGGAGTGGAAAGCTGACGCGCAAAGCAACATTTTGGTACCAAACATTCCTTGATCGGACGAAGGAGAAGGAAGTTGCTTTCTTTTTTGGCGCAGTGGAATTATCGACTGAAATTGCTGTCAGTATATTGTTAGCTACCTTCATCACGCTCGTGGTACGTCTTCTGGAGTTATTCAGTCACCACTCGAGGTTTTCCTCGCATCCTCGGGTAGTTGTCCGTTATATTTTCGCAAGTTCTTTTGAATACGATGGTGAACTCAAAAATACGATGGGCCTTTACTTTTCTCTGTTTCCACAACTTTCCAGTGGGAGATATGCACATCAGCGACGCATCGCACGACACGGAGCACCATGCAGCGCATTTACAGCATCTATGCCGTGTTGGAGGCGCAAAATTTACTGCGTGCTCCCAACAGACGAGATATCCAGTGTCTGACTACACTGAAACGATGAAAAACGTATTCAGTATTGATGTTTGTAATGACGACCCTACCATTCACCCAACATATATCTGTGCTCTTTGCAAAAGAGTGCTGAAGAGATCACAGAGCACAGAAAAGTTCAATCCCAGTGGCGGTGGTTGTGGACAAGGGGTAACATTTAGTTGGAAAAGACATGAACTTGTGAATTCCAGAGTCTGCACCAAGTTTCAAGAAAAATCGAAGGGTGGCCGACCAAGCAAACGGATAAAAACAGCAAGCGGAGCAGCAAAAATGACATCAAGCAGTAGCAGTGCATGTGCATCTAGCAATAGCATGGATATACCTGAAAGTGAGGTGCATGACATATCTGCACCTGATTATGAAGCAGAGTGCAATTTGACTATGTCAAGATTTGCCGACAGCAGTGCAGCAGCCACAGTACAATGCATAATCTGCCGCAGCATGCCGAGCAATGGTGTTCAGTCACCATGCTGTTCTAGAGTATTTTGCACGAAATGCATATGCCAAACATTAACCAACGGTGTGCAGTGTCCAGCCTGCCAACATACCCTGCGTGCTTCAGAACTGGCAAAGCCAAGCGAACTGTTCTGTCACCTGCTTGCGAACTGGTCCGTCCACTGTGGATCAAACTCGGTGGTGATCACGGCGGAGGATCTTTCAAGTTCGTCCTGCAGATCGCGAATGTGCAGCGGCCGAATTCACTCCTCAACACTATCCCAATTTGCATCTTCGAGGCACAAGACACGCCATCGAACCTTGAAACCGCGCTAGGAGTCTATCGTGACGAGGTCAGAGATCTGCAAACAACAGCAACATGGAAGAACAAGTCGTTCAAGTTGTTTTTCTTTGGCGACTACGAATATCAAACGAAAGCATATGGTTTGTGGGGGTCCAGTGGCACCCGACCATGCTTACACTGTCTATGTCAGAAGAAGAATATGGACATTCCACCAGCCCTAAACCCAGATGCCGATTCTACCAGCAGAACACTAGAAACTCTGTACAACGATTTCACTGGATTCACGAACAGTGGCTCAAATCTAAAGAATGCAAAGAACTACAACAACAGCATACGTCCAGTGATCTTACCTATTCCCGAGGAGAATGTTGTAATCCCTGCTCTTCATCTGGATCTGGGTATTTTCCCATTGATGCTGACTGCTTTTCAGGCTGAGCTCAAAGCCCTCGACATTGAGCTTGTCAGTAGAACAGCTACTGCAGACACCGCCGTTCCTGCCGCCGTTGCTACTACAGCAGAAACCGCCGCTGTTTCTGCTGCCACTGCCGTCCCTGCCGTCGTTCCTGCTGCCACTGCCGTTCCTGCTGCCACTGCCGTCCCTGCAGCCGTCCCTGTAGTCGTTCCTGCTGCCGTCCCTGCAGTCGTTCCTGCTGCCGTCCCTGCAGCCATTCCTGCTGCCACTGCCGTCCCTGCAGCCGTTCCTGCTGCCACTGCCGTCTCTGCAGCTGTTCCTGCAGCCACTGTTGCTCCTGCAGGCGTTCCTGCTGCCACTGTCATCCTTGCAGCCATTACTGCTACAGCAGTAGCTGGTGATGCTGGCAGATTTGAAAAGCTTTCGTCACTGCATGCGGAAGCCAGCAAAACGGATGAGGAGATTTCTGCAGTTACCCAACAACTACATTTAGTGCAGCAGCAAGTCCAGTACATTGTTCTCTTTTCTCAGCTTGATACCTGCTGCCACAGTGGAGAGCGTGACACAACACCTACAAGACCAGTGGAAGAATGGTGATGCACGCCGTACTGCATTGCTTGCGCGGAGACAGTCACTCACTGACCAAATGGCCGCAATAAAACAGAACAAAATGTGTGAGGGGCCATGTTGAGCAAGCATCGAGCCAGTTTTCCAGCGCAATGGAATCGATAGGCAAGCATACCATGGAGGTGCTTTTGTGGGTAACCATGTGCACATAGCTCTTCAGCCAGCAGTGACAACTGAAATAACCCCAGCACATTTATCTGCGGTAGCTTCTCGTGCGCCACTGCTGCTCCCAGAGGCAAATCGAATTCATGAGGATTACCAGCGCCTGATGTCCCTGTATGGCGAGTGCACTGCCCTCTTCAGCCACTGCAGGCCTATGGACGAGGCCACCATATCCAAGCTAGAAGGCTTGGTGGAGACATTTATGGCTGCATGCCGAGATATCGTCGTCAGCAAGAAGCTCGGCCACATCACGCCGAAATTGCACATGTTGGAGGTGCATGTCGTGCCGTCCATCCGGCGGCGAGGCGTTGGTCTTGGTCTCCTCGCAGAGCAAGAGAGTGAGAGCATTCACACCCGCTTCAACGAGCTGAGGAGACACCACGAGGCCATCCGCAATCCCTTGGAGCGCCTCAAGTCTGTTGCACAGACGCATTTGATTGCAACTCTCCCACAACACGAGTCGGTCCCTCCAGTCAGCAGGAAGAGGAAATCCTCGCAGTAAAGTTAGTGTTCCTCTGCATCTTGTTTGCTGTGCTATCTGAAATTCTCGGCCTTCCATCTCGTTTGAGCTCTTTTAGCTTTCTCTCCTCTCAAAGTAATTTTTTCCTTT